AGATAATTCGGCTATGTCACTTTTCTGTTCTAATATGAACTCGAAAAGTAACTTCTCACAATTGTATGATGCTATTTATTTACAAATATATACATGCCGAGGTACTAGTTTTTCTGAGATATCAGTCATGAGACTGTCTATATTTCGAGAAAAATAGCACTCACTGACTGACGTAATTTTTCTTCTTCTCTTTTGTCCGTACACTCGCTCTTTAGTGTTATTTTGATTTTTGCATCATTTATTCATCAGATAGATGACCTATATTGGATCATTTCTTCGTCCAGTCTCTGTTTCAAGAATAACGCGGGTTCTTCTATTTAACGGACGCATCTTGGTCGCAAAAGAGCGATCATATGACGAGTAAAGTACGTGCAGAATAAAAACCGAACAAAAATGGCATTTTATCTTCACTTTCACAAGTGAATAAATGGTCGCAAAGGAACTCCTCGGCAGTCAAAATTCTGACTGCCCTGAGGAGACGCACAATCGCACCTCATATATACACTCTATCCAGTAGAAGAGAAGTACCGTTTCTTCCTGTTCTTTCGCGAGACAGGACGGGTTGGATTTTGTTTGAGCATGCCACGACTCGTTTCGACCGGTGCTCGACGGTCTCATGAGGCGGTCTGAATTATCTTCTGTTTTGAGCCCGAAGATATTCGGCTATGTCACTTTTCTGTTCTAATATGAACTCGAAAAGTAACTTCTCACAATTGTATGATGCTATTTATTTACAAATATATACATGCCGAGGTACTAGTTTTTCTGAGATATCAGTCATGAGACTGTCTATATTTCGAGAAAAATAGCACTCACTGACTGACGTAATTTTTCTTCTTCTCTTTTGTCAGTACACTCGGTCTTTTGTTTTATTTTGATTTTTGCATCATTTATTCATCAGAAAAATGACCTATATTAGATCATTTCTTCGTCCAGTCTCTGTTTCAAGAATAACGCCGGTTCTTTTATTTAACGGACGCATCTTGGTCGCAAAAGGGCGATCATATGACGAGTAAAGTACGTGCAGAATAAAAACCGAAAAAAAATGGCATTTTATCTTCACTTTCACAAGTGAGTAAATGGTCGCAAAGGAACTCCTCGGCAGTCAAAATTCTGACTGCCCTGAGGATAGGCACAATCGCACGTGGTATATACGCTGTATCCAGTAGAAGAGAAGTACCATTTCATTTCAAAATTTGATGTTTTGTTTCTAGAGAAAAGGCAAGGGGGAAAAAGCGCACTCCGCCACTCCGTGGAGTGGCGGAGTGACTCGGAGTGGCTTGGAGTGGCGGAGTCGCTCGGAGTACCGCGGGCTTGAGAAATTTTATCTCTGTTCCTAGAAGCGGAACAAAGACTTTCTGTCTGCGGGAAAAAAAATCACAGAACAAAACAGAATTATCCCGTTATCTGGGACATTTTCTCAAGGAAAGTACCGGATTGTTCTGTTCTGGGAACAAAATTGTCCTGTTTCGGGAGCCCGATTGTTCCGTTTTGGGGGAAGAATATTAAGAGAAATATCATTATTTTATTTTAAACGAAAGCAACGCACTTCGCCACTCCGGACCATTGTACGGAGTGCCGGAGTGCGGTGGAGTGCACTTTACTCCGCGGAGTGGCTGCAGTGGCGGAGTGCGCTTTTTCCCCCTTGAGAAAAGGCCTTCAGGATTTTTACATATTCGGAATCGGCACGAGGTGTTACGTTGTACGGCGCAAAGATCTCGTCGGGGTACCCGCTTTTTTTGGACTCGGATTCTCCACTGCGGGTTTTCACGGTATATTACACTATATTCAACAGTAGATATCAAATATTCCGCTTTTCTACCGTACTCTTTTATGTCATTTTTCTTTGCTTGGATGTTTTTTTCTTTCTATACGCACTATAGAGATAGATATAAAGCAAGAAATGGAGAAAAGAACAAATTTTATGGTTTTATCCAAAAGAAAGATTGCACGCACTATGCACTTAGTGTATATTATGGCAACTTCCCAGATTAAAAAGTTAACAAATTTGAAGGTACCCCTCTCCAGGTTTTCTTGTAATTTGAAGTACACAACTTGTACTCTATGCCAAGCTATTTTTTTGGAAAAAGGTACCGTTTAGTACTTGAGTTATAAGGCTGCCAATATCACAGAGGAACGTATGAAAAAGTAGATATGTACGTCAATATAAAAGCCAAATGGGTTGTCACAGAATTTTCTGCACTACCATGATGGTAGTGAGAGATAATGTATGTAAAACAGAAATGAAAATAGTTAAAAGGCTGCTATTATCATTCCTCAGTGTATATGAATAGAACGTTATTTCTCTTTAAAGGACACAATAAGGAAAGGCAGAATTTTATACTTATATATATGTTCCTTTATTCTGTTTTCAAAATAAGCAGTTTCTACATTTCTTCTATTTATCTTCTTTCTACATAATCAAGGCTTAACTTGGTGAGACTATTTGTTTCCCAAATTGATCAAATACGTTTGATGAGATTAACACTTTACTTATTGAGCAGCTTATCAATGTTCACCTATACGTCCAGTCTGTGATGTGAGGCTTGAAAGGAATTATATTTCGGAACAATGTTCCTTTTTTCTTGTGATCTGAAGTCAGATGGAAAGGAAAATGGCCTTTCTCTTCTGTTGACTAAAACGTATAAAAATAGCTGTACGAACTCTTTTCGTTACCGTTATGCAATCTACTTAAAAATGTATGCTACATGACCTTCATACTGTGAAAATTAGCCATTAACTCAATACTGTTCATTATTTATTAATTATCTGCATTTCCTACAAGAATAAAAGGTGAGTACTGATGACAAACATGTTTAAAAGTAATTGCAAAATAGTTCTTGATATAGCGGACCTTCCTGATGCGAGTACCAAGTTGAAAGAATATTTGGAAGAAATTCAAAAAAGAGTGAAAACTACACTATCTGCTGACGGGAAAACTGTAGTCGATAGTGTTTTAAGGAAAAAATGTTCTAATGCCATATCCCTAGCAGCAAACAAGAAAACGCAAACAAGTTTAACTGTGTATGTAGAACAGAAATACGTCAGTGATTTGCTTCTTTTTGATCCAGGAAGTTCTGGAGCAATTAATTCCAACAGCTGTTTAACATCTGTGCTTAGTGACGAATCTGAAAAGGTGTCATTTGTGTACGAAAATAATAGTTTAATAGTACAGGCAAATTATCAGTATCTTAGTTCTTATTTACAACGCCTTATGCGTCGTAGTAGTGGCACGCCGCTGAATTTACATCCTCTGTGTGATGATATCTGTACATTTGTGTTCACAGAACTGAAATACTGGGCAAGCTTACCCACTTTAAAGCAAGAACTACGTCTGAAGCTATTCAAAATAGCAAATAGTAAAAAAGCAGCTGTAGGAGGAAACAGTGTTATCGCTCTAAATACTCTTCGAGAAGAGAACAGTTTTACATTTTTTCTTCGTTGCGTACAACCACTTTCTCCTGTTTCACAAAATTTTAACAATCCCACAACATCGTCTGAATTGAGCACTAACACTAGTTTTGATAAATATATTGAGTCAAATAAAGTTCTCTTTGTTCGATCCTCCGATCCTCCTATCCTAATTATCTTCTGTTTTGAACTCGAAGATAATTCGGCTATGTCACTTTTCTGTTCTAATATGAACTCGAAAAGTAACTTCTGACAATTGTATGATGCTATTTATATACAAATATATAGATGCCGAGGTACTACTTTTTCTGATATATCAGTCATTAGACTGTCTATATTTCGAGAAAAATAGCAGTCACTGACTGACGTAATTTTTCTTCTTCTCTTTTCTCAGTACACTCGGTCTTTTGTTTTATTTTGATTTTTGCATCATTTATTCATCAGAAAAATGACCTATATTAGATCATTTCTTCGTCCAGTCTCTGTTTCAAGAATAACGCCGGTTCTTCTATTCTTATAAGCTTTATTGAAAAGAAAAAGTTAGAAAAGATCAGTACAATAATGAGGAGAAGGAGGCGAGCCCATTGTATCTTTACATCATTGACTGCGGACAAAGGACAGGACAAGAAATACATATAAAAACAAGTGACAAGGACAACATAAAAAAGACAAGTACAGACAAAATAAAGACAAGGTAATAAAAACAGGTTCTTCTATTTAACGGACGCATCTTGGTCGCAAGAAAGCGATCATATGACGAGTAAAGTACCTGCAGAATAAGAACCGAAAAAAATGGCATTTTATCTTCACTTTCGCAAGTGAATAAATGGTCGCAAAGGAACTCCTCGGCAGTCAAAATTCTGACTGCCCTGAGGAGGTGCACAATCGCACCCGATATGTACACTCTATCCAGTAGAAGGCAAATACCATTTCTTCCTGTTCTTTTGCGAGACAGGACGGGCTGGTTTTTGCTTGAGCATGCCACGACGCGTTTCGACCGGTGCTCGACGGTCTCATCAGGTGGTCTGAATTATCTTCTGTTATGAACTCGAAGATGATTCTTCTATGTCACTTTTCTGTTCTAATATGAACTGGAAAAGTAACTTCTGAGAATTGTATGATGCTATTTATATACGAATATATAGATGCCGAGGTACTACTTTTTCTGATATATCAGTCATTAGACTCTCCATATTTCGAGAAAAATAGCAGTCACTGACTGACGTAATTTTTCTTCTTCTCTTTTGTCAGTACACTCGGTCTTTTGTTGTTAGATAGAAAAACCTCCGCACACTTTTCACAATAGTCATCTTCCTATCTTTCCCTTGGTCATACATTCTTGGTCTTTCTTCATCACACCACTTCTATCGTACCATTTTATTGTATCATTTCGTCACGTAGTTTTACATTCCTCTCTGTATTATTGTTACATATATATGCGACTGTATTCTTGTGTGTTAAGGAGCATTCAGTAGTTATCTTTCTCTGTTGAATAAACATATGATGATTATCGTCCTCACATTGGTGCACTAGCCAATCGTTTGTCAATTCAACATCACATACGACACGAATTCGGATTAACAACAACAATGGAGATCCCAGCGAATAATTACGTACAACAGCAACGTCAATTTTTATATGAATGGTTGAAGAATGAAAAAGCCTACGAAAATAAAAGAATTTTGACGATAAATGATATGGATGAACTACAATATTTGTGTGTTAAACCAGATGATATAATCATTTTACAAGCTAAAAATGGAAAACCCATGAAAGTTATTGGTAGTAAAAAAGAAACCAACGATTTCCAGACAAAACAACAACAATGTCACTTTCATCCACAACATCTTCAAACATCGTATGACCAGTATCCATCGACATCATTCGTGAACCATGAATTATTATCATCAACACTCGAAAACGACCAGCAATCGATGTGGCCTTCCGGTGATGTAGAATGGTATACACACGAAATGAAACAACAACGTCCAAATTTTATGAACACAGCATCCACAAAATCAGAATCTAATCATGATCAAACATCGAAAGATATTACACAATTACAAACGGAACCGATAATGGTGCGACGACAAGTACTCTCTGACCAGCCACAACATCGTGTACAATTAGAGAATTTAGAACTGAAACATCATCTTGAATTAATTCAATTAAGATTAGAACATCTGCACCAACCATCATCATCCGTTATCCAATTCGAAACAACGCCCGACCCATCAGATCGAGCAGTGGCATATCATACTCTATCCTTAATGACAAAATTAGGAACTATTGGTAAACAACTCATTGAGCGACAACATGTTAAAACGAAAATGCAACAAGTATTGCGTTGGATATTATTATTATTAATGCTGATTATGTTTGGTGGCGCACTAATAAGTCAAAAAAAGACATCAACGGATGGCAATTATGGTTCTCTTGGTCTTGAATTAGTGTTATTTAGTACGGATATTAACCTTGCATTCGAACATGAAGATCGATTTATTGCTGGTTTATTAGGCGATAATAAAATTAAATTATTGAATCATTGGAACTGGCTTTGGCCGTATATGGTCCCATAATAAACAACAACATCCGGATTCCAAACTATCATATGGTCCTCGGTTATCCACATGGACATGGTATTCCTTTTGTGTTCCAACATCATAATTAACCACAAACAAGTACCAACAGCAAATTGGATTTATATCAAATTGGTTGGACAAACTCATATGGTCAGATGGTGGCAGCTTCTGATCGATTTTGTCAGTACATATATTTAACATTGGAAAATTGCAACATCAATATTTAATAACATTTATCGTGGTCATTATGATCTACAAAGGTATCATACAAAGGCTTCCATTAAAACTAGTTAATGGAATAAAATCATGGTACCATTTGGAGAAGACAATATTGATACATTATAACTGGAAACAAGTACAAATGGCATTCATTGAGGCATTTGGAACATCCAGCCAAATCGAACAAGCAGCCATAATGTTGGCCACTCAGACAGCGTCATATGACATTAAACGCCCATTAGAAGAATCCTGGCCAGCCAAAATGGCAACATCCAACGATCATGTAGTACAGATCAACAGTCAACAACCACAAACATTAGCATCAGGTTCACAAGATATGAATGAACCTCCGCCAGCGGTGATCTCCGTAGACAAACATATGGACATCGAACATTTGCAATTGAAATACCTACTAGAAACACAGCAAATGCAAAATGAATTGAACACGAAACAAGCCCAACTGGAAAAATCTGAAATGACATTAAAAGCCAAAGAAATGGAAATGGACCTGATTATAATGACACAACAAGTTCACTAACATGTCATTTTACCAATATTATAAGATTCCAGGCAGGCAACGATGACAAGCCAATCTTGACAATATCATTGAAGAACAAGGTGCCAGATTGTTCCAGATACTGTCAATACGACTATTCACCCTTTCAAAAAGTATTCTGTTTATTTTTGTTCAATTTTAACACTTTTTCTCTTTTTTTTGATGAGCGGGACGCTTCATCTAGTGGCGGCGGAGGTGCTAGATAGAAAAACCTCCGCACACTTTTCACAATAGTCATCTTCCTATCTTTCCCTTGGTCATACATTCGTGGTCTTTCTTCATCACACCACTTCTATCGTACCATTTTATTGTATCATTCACTCACGTAGTTTTACATTCCTCTCTCTATTATTGTTACATATATATACGACTGTATTCTTGTGTGTTAAGGAGCATTCAGTAGTTATCACTCTCTGTTGAATAAACATATGACGATTATCATCCTCACATTGTTTTATTTCGATTCTTGCACCATTTATTCATCAGACAAATGACCCATATTAGATCATTTCTTCGTCCAGTCTCTGTTTCAAGAATAACGCCGGTTCTTCTATTTAACGGACGCATCTTGGTGGCAAAAAAGCGATCATATGACGACTAACGCACGTGCAGAATAAAGACCGAAAAAAATGGCATTTTATCTTCACTTTCACAAGTGAATAAATGGTCGCAAACGAACTGCTCGGCAGTCAAATTTCTGACTGCCCTGAGGAGGTGCACAATCGCACCCGATATGTACACTCTATCCAGTAGAAGGCAAATACCATTTCTTCCTGTTCTTTTGCGAGACAGGACGGGTTGGATTTTGTTTGAGCATGCCGCGACTCGTTTCGACCGGTGCTCGACGGTCTCATCAGGTGGTCTGAATTATCTTCTGTTATGAACTCGAAGATGATTCTTCTATGTCACTTTTCTGTTCTAATATGAACTGGAAAAGTAACTTCTGAGAATTGNTCAGGTGGTCTGAATTATCTTCTGTTATGAACTCGAAGATGATTCTTCTATGTCACTTTTCTGTTCTAATATGAACTGGAAAAGTAACTTCTGAGAATTGTATGATGCTATTTATATACAGATATGTACATGCCGCGGTACCACTTTTCCGATATGCCAGTCATTAGACTGTCTATATTTCGAGAAAAATAGCAGTCACTGACTGGCATAATTGTTCGTTTTCTCTTTTGTCAGTACACTCGGTCTTTTGTTTTATTTTGATTTTTGCATCATTTATTCATCAGAAAAATGACCTATATTACATCATTTCTTCGTGCAGTCTCTCTTTCAAGAATAACGCCGGTTCTTCTTTTTAACGGACGCATCTTGGTCGCAAAGAGCGATCATATGACGAGTAAAGTACGTGCAGAGTAGAAACCGAAAAAAATGCGATTTTATCCTCACTTTCACAAGTGAATAAATGGTTGCAAGGGAACTCCTCGACAGTCAAAATTCTGACTGCCCCGAGGAGACGCACAATCGCACCTGATATATACACTCTATCCAGTAGAAGAGAAATACCATTTCTTCCTGTTCTTTTGCCAGACAGGACGGGTTGGATTTAGTTTGAGGATGCCACGATGCGTTTCGACCGGTGCTCGCCGGTCTCATCAGGTGGTCTGAATTATGTTCTGTTATGAAGTCGAAGATAATTCGGCCGTGTCACTTTTCCGTTCTAATATGAACTAGAAAAGTAACATCTGAGAATTGTCTGATGCTATTTATATACAAATATATAGATGCCGAGGTGCTACTTTTTCTGATGTATCAGTTATTAGACTGTCTATATTTCGAGAAAAATAGCAGTCACCGACTGACGTAATTGTTCGTTTTCTCTTTTGTCAGTACACTCGTTCTTTTGTTTTATTTTGATTTTTGCATCATTTATTCAACAGAAAAATGACCTATATTAGATCATTTCTTCGTCCAGTCTCTGTTTCAAGAATAACGGCGGTCTTACTATTTAACGGACGCATCTTCGTCGCAAAAAAGCGATCATATGACGAGTAAAGTACGCCCAGAATAAAAGTCGAAAAAAATGGCATTTTATCCTCACTTTCATAAGTGAATAAATGGTCGCAGGGGAACTCCTCGGCAGTGAAAATTCTGACTGCCCCGAGGAGACGCACAATCGCACCCGATATATACACTCTATCCACTAGAAGAGAAATACCATTAATTTAATAATTCGGCTATGGCACTTTTCTGTTCTACCATGAACTCGAAAAGTAACGTCTGAGAATTGTATGATGCTGTTTATATACAAATAAAGAGATGCCTAGGCGGTACTTGTTCTGATACCTCAGTCATTAGACTGTCTATATTTCGAGAAAAATAGCAGTCACTGACTGACGTAATTGTTCGTTTTCTCTTTCGTCAGTACACTCCGTCTTTTGTTTTATTTTGATTTTTGCATCATTTATTCATGAGAAAAATGACCTATATTAGATCATTTCTTCGTAGAGTCTGTGTTTCATTCTGTTCTACTGTTTAACAGACGCATCTTGGTCGCAAAAAAGCGATCGTATGACGAGTAAAGTACGTGCAGAATGAAAAACGGAAAAACATGACATTTTCTCGTCACTATGGTGGGCGTATAAATTGTATTTCGACTCATTAATTGCCCTTCGACCCATAAATTGTCGTTGCACTCATTATATACACTCTCACCAGTGAAAAAGAAATACCACTTCTTCGTGTTTTTCTTGCTGGACAGGGCGGGTTGGATTATGTTTGAGCATGCCACGACGTGTCTCGACCGGTGCTCGACGGTCTCATCAGGTGGTCTGAATTATGTTCTGTTATGAACTCGAAGATAATTCGGCTATGTCACTTTTCTGTTCTAATATGAACGGGAACAGTAACTTCTGAGTATTGTGTGATGCTGTTTACACACAAATATATACATGCCGAGGTACTACTTTTTCTGATATATCAGTCATTAGAGTGTCTATATGTCGAGAAAAATAGCAGTCACTGGCTGACGTAATTTTTCGCGAGCCGTTTGTATGTTCTCACCGGAGAAGAAAGAGAAAAATCGAAGCTTCAATATATGATCTTACCCTGAATGGTACATCGTATACAACTGAAATAGCCGGTGGGATCGTTGTAGTTCAGCAAGAGGGCCGATGCCGGCTTATCACAGACGGCGGAAATTAGAAAAACTTTCATATTTCTCTCCTTCAAATGATCACGTCGAGATGAAAATGCGTCGTCGACGAAAAAGTCGACACCATGTGTCTCGAGTTGTAGTAGCTGTTCCACAAGAGAATCGAGTATAAGTTGAAACTCATCTTTTCTGGGTTTCAATGACCCGGTTGATATCATTCCGAGAACGATGTTTTCCGGTCGGAAACGAATTGACCGAGGAAGTTCGTTTAGAACAAATGCCGTAATCCAAATTGACTTTGACACAGACTTGACTACGGCTCCATTGGACTTCATGCGGAGGGTGACAAACTTTGACATTTCGGTCTCATAGATCCTGCGGTAGAACTGCCCGTCAACAATGTCACTAATCGAGTTAGGATCTCGAGACGGAACGAGAAGTTTATCATGGTGGCGAACGAGTATCGAGCGAATTTGTGGCGCAAGAGCAAACGTGAAGTTTGTTGTTGGCTTCCGATCGAATTTGGCTTGACTCGAGCAGGTGGCGTTTGAACATCGATCATCAAACATGGTGTAACGGCAACACAAGGGGCAGACAACGGTCTTCGTAGCGACAGTAGTCGAACAGTGACGATCAAGAATAAGCTTTCGCACGGAAAGATGATTGACAAGAGCATGAGGCACACGCAACACGCAGAGAAGTCGATGCTGTTGCAGCAATTGTTAGTCGAACCATGTCTCGATTGCAAAGAGACGAGAAGAAAAGCAATTTGTTTCGACGAGAACGGTCCATTGGTTGGAGAAGCTCGATTAGGAGGAGTAACATCATCGATTTCAGACTCCGACGATGATTCAGACTCTGACTCAGTGAAGTCATCGTATACGTTTGTTTGAGTATCGTGATCGATATGAGTGATTTTCGCCGAGCGAGGTGAGACTGACGACCGAGCGGAAGGCAATTCGTCGAGTGATTGCTGATGAACGGGGCTTTGAGTGGGAGAAAAGTCGGTAGAATGCGATATATTTCCACCAAATTGGCTAAAACTAAACGATACAATCGTGTGACTGCTAGAAGACCACTACCTTAGAGCACAAGTGAGATTTCCAACAGACCGTAGTCGTTGCGCCGCCATAGCTTTTTGCCGAAAGTAATAACGACGATTTTTCAGAAGACGAAAGGAGGGCGGCGCGGGTGGTGGCGAATACACCATTGTGATATCTACAGCGACGTGGTCCTCTAGTGGTCCTCTAGCATTCTGAAGAAGAAGAAGAAGCTTTGTTTCTGTAACGACTATTATGGAAGCGATGAAAAATACCGAAGCGATGAGAAGTATGAAAGACATAAAATGTACGAAAAAATATGAA